AAGATGTTTATCTTGTATTTGATTATGTTTATCTGCAGTTAGTTACACGAATTCAGATATGGAGCTTTAATAAGTTGTACTTACGCACAATCTACTTGCAATCTTAAGTTTTAAGTAMTATGCATTAATAAACGGTACTTTACGCATAAAAATGGTTTTTAAGAGTTTTTGTCAAATGTTTTATAATATAGTATAGATTATGTGTTTTTAAGAAAGCAATAATGATTTTATTTTTGAATAAAATATAAATTTAAAGATATCATAAAAATTTGAAGAAAAAAATATCAATGTTAATATCAAATCAACTATTAAAAGTTTTCATTTTTTATGTAATTTCTTTAAAAAAAATATTATAATTTAATTTAAGTTTAATAATTAAATAATTTATTTTTGGTTTAATAATATAACATTTTATAAAGATAATAATTAAATATTCTGTTAGAACTCAATGATTATCCTAATTATATTTTAGATTTTTTATATTTAAAATGAAATGTTTATCCTGTATTTGACTATGTTATCTGCAGTTAGTTACACGAATTCAGATATGAAGCTTTAATAAGTTGTACTTACGTACAATCTACTTGTAATTTTGAGTTTTAAGTAATACGCATTAATAAACAGTAGTTTACGCATAAAAATGGTTTTTAAAAGTTTTTGTCAAATGTTTTATAATATAGTATAGATAAGGTATCGTTTATTGATGCATATTACTTAAAATTCAATATTACAAGTAGATAATGCATAAGTACAACTTATTAAAGCCTCATGGTTGAATTCGTGTAATTAACTGCAGATAAACATAATCAAATACTGGATAATCATTTCATTTTACATATAAAATATCTAAAATATAATTACGATAATCATTATGTTATAACAAAATACTTAATTATTATCTTTCTAAAAACTTACATTATTAAGTCAAAAATAAATTATTTCATTATTAAATCTAAATTAAATTTGAATAAAAATTTGAATTAAAGAAATTAAACAGCAAAACAAGAATAGTTAATTTGATACTAATATCTATTATTTGTTTTAAAAATCTAAGATATCTTCAAATTTAATTAAAGTATTTGATAAAAACTCTTAAAAACCATTTTTTGTACATAAAATATTGTTTATTGATGCATATTACTTAAAATTCAATATTATAAATTATTAATGCATAAGTACAACTTATTAAAGCTTCATGTTTGAATTCGTCTAACTAACTGCAGATAAACATACACTACCAAACAGTGTGTCATTTTCAGCGGCTATATCCATTAAAAATCCGCCGGAAATCTTGGCGCTGGTGATTAATTTCCTGGCGGATTTACCGACGGATTTTACCATTTCCCGGCGG